TGTTTTCATTCATTAATTATGTTTATTTGTTCTATTTTTTTTACATTTGATTAAGATTTGAACATCGCTGCCAGGGCATTTTTTATAAGGTTAAAAAAACTTTTTATTGCATATCAATGCCAAATTAGTTTAAAATATTTTTATTAAACTTAGAAAGGTACCTGAGTTAAATAGAATAGTTGAAATTGGAACGATATTTTGTATCAACTTAGGGCTTACTTTTTAAAATTTCATAATGTAGATATTATCAAATACAAAAAAAAAGTTTTCAAAAAATGACTTTCAAGCTTTAATGAGAAGATGACACGCACATATTTGAAAAAAGATGGATTTTAAAAAGCCTACCTTCCAAGTTCAAATGAGAAGATAATTGTTAACGGTATACATTTCAAGTCCACTGTCAGAACATGAAAATGAGTATGCTAAACTATAGAACATGTTCACCGGACACTACTGTAGTTAAAATAATGATCTGAACCATGTCATTGTGAATTTAAAATCATGCTATATTACCTATATCAACAACACTAATGTATATGATATGGTGTATCCTTGATAGTAAAAAATTATATTGAAAATTAAATATTAATATAAGAACCCAACAATGCTCAATTCATTTAAAGTTTAAACCTAGATAAAATATTGGTTTAAACCATTTTATTCTTTTTTGGTTTAGTACATCTCTTAATGTGTAATATATGTTGTATCATTAATATCAAAGTATGGAGTAGGAAAAAATGTGTAACCTTTTCATCCATGAAAATCATTTCAATGGATTTGATGGCTCGACTTTTCTCTCCGGGGGCGGACCCAGGAAAGTCATCTTGGGGAGGGGGGGGGGGGGGGGGGCAAAAATATTTTTTGGGGGGTTCAAAATATTTTTTCGGAGGGAGAAATTATTTTTCACATATATATATATATATATACACTAAAAAAAATTCTTGTTGGGGGGGGGGGGGGGGGGTAACCCCCCTAGGTCTGTACTACGGTCCGCCCCTGTTTCTCTCCAATAAGGGCATCCCATTTCCGAGTGACTCTCACCAGGAAAGCAGAATTGCTTGGTATGTTCTTCGCAACGTCCTCCAGATACACCTTTTTAGGTGGCATTGTTCCTGTAAATGAAGTACATGAGAAAGATTTTAAAAAAATGAGAATTCATGAAGTGGCTGATAATTGAGAAAGTTAAAAAACATGAATACAGTAACAAAATATAAAAAGTAATATATAAAGTCACAATAAAGAGTAATTAATATAACAACCATAAACTTCAAAGATAAAAGAAAATCATAGAATAATCTGCTAGTACTACTTATGATAACTATCATAATTTAATAATTTTACTCTTACTCAATGAAGAACAGTTGGTGTATTTGCAATAAGATTTTTACAATGAAAACCAAGATTTATATTACTTTGAAGAGAGGGAAGAGTTATAATAATTGTCTAATGTAAGGTGGCAGAAGTAGAGCCTTTTCCACAGAAAGGTTAAACGTGAAAAGCAAAAACAATTAAATTGCAAACTCAGCGAGCCAAAATTTGGACAGTTTGCACTGCATTCCTTAAGCAAGAAGTAGTAATATGATTTAAAAATTTTTGTGTATGGTAGGCATACAAACTAATAGACAGAGTTGTATATCAACCAATTGAAAAAGTGTGATGGTGTATTATTAACGTGTGTGAAACAGTCATGGCGTGTAGGATGGTCAAAGTCCTATCATAATTATAAGCATGAAAGGATAGACTGATAATAAGCAATTAAACAGAAAAGGAAGTAATGCAAATATAGGGCCATGACACAATGTGCATGCTTAAAAGATACTATAAAGATATTTTCTAAATGCAACATTTAGTTCAAACAAGATACTAATTTTTAGCAAATGACATTTGGCAAATCAGTGGGCAAATCAAAAGAAGCACAAAGGAAGAATTAGTTGATGGGGGTCTACAATTTTAGCAAATCAACTGTATGGCTGTAATCTCAACTTACCCAACTAAAATAGCTTGATACAGACTAAAACATCTTACTGGAAGAACAAAGATCAAGCCCCCGTTTATGAGAAAATCAATTGAAAAAAGTAAAAGTCATAAAATATCTTTGGAAGAAGAAGATTGTGCCTAAATTCAAAAAAAAATCACAGGAAGACCACTTTTCTTGGCCAAAATCAAAATGGCCAAAAAGTGCAACACAAATAAGACAAAAGTGCAAGCGAAACATGAAAAAGTGAAAACTTTGCACTTTACACGGGAAAACCACTTTTCATTTGAACTCTTCGAAATGAACGCACGAGATTAATTCTCACTTTGCATGGGAAGACCTCTTTTTATTTGAAACCTCCCCTATATATATATATATATATATATATATATATATATATATATATATATATATATATATATATATATATATATATATATATATATATATATATATATATATATATATATATATATATATATATATATATATATATATATAAAGCTTAGTCAAAAGCATTAAAAATCACGAGAAAACAAAGATATTAAAACTTGCTATATTTATTTTAGGTTATTAAAAATAAACAGTGAACTTTTATTAAAACTGGGTCACTTTGAATTAAAAACCACTTTTCAAAGGCTTATATGTCATTATAATCTGCAAAGTAAAACTGGGTCACTAACATGAAAAATAAGCACTTTGAAATCATTTACTTCGAAAATGATTTCAAAATAAAGTTGCAAATTAGTGGGACATATGAAGTAATGACCAACGGATTTACAAAGAGGACACATCAAGGGAACTGAAGCATAAAATCTTGTTTAACTTCCTACAATTAACTTGAAAAGTAAGGTGACTGCATATAGAGTACCTTTCAAGAAAAGGGTGTTCTTGATCAGTCTTACATTGTACAGTTCTACCAAGATGTTGTCAATCGATTCTTGGGACTCTGGAGGCCTGAGATGGCGAAAAGACTTAATTGCTTCAATCGCCTCATCTGACCGGTTCAACTGCTTCATCACAACTGTCATTCCTTAGAAAACAAAAAAAGAAACGGATGGCAGATGTGGGATATTTTATGAACATTTTCCGGGGATTAATCTCTTTTAGGGCTTACATCGGTACCGGACTTGTGATTAAGGGACATGGCTTGGCTAATCCTATACATAAAAACCAAAATTAATTGAATTCTAACCTAGAAGCAAACTTGAAATGAGAAAAACCGGATTGGGAAGCAAAAAGGATGTAAAACACTAAAAGTGGGAACAAATACCTGGTGTCGGGGCTCATTTACAGAAGAAGAAAAATGGAGGAGGTAATCGGTTATAGCTGTGCTGGTCGACTCTGTTAATGGAGTGCTCGAACACCTCAACCAGCGCGAGGTCAACGCAGGCAGGAGAGAGTGATTTCAGTGCAGCTGAGAAAGGAAGAAATACTCCTTGAGTTGTTGAGAGAATTGTGATTCTGGTAAAGAAAGGAGAAGGATTTTCTGGTGCGATGGGCGAGAAATGGGCATACGGGGAAGATGATGGGAGAGAATCGATAAGGTGCGAATTTACATTTTTAGGCCACGCGCACCGGCGGGAGAATTTTCTCTCTTCACTGTAGTGCTTTTAGGTATAGGATACGTGATAAATACTCCGTAAAACTTTGATGAGTCAGCATGCGAGAAACGCATTCTTAAAATCAATAGAGGAGTAAACATTGTGGGTTATATTCAATTCCAACTCAGATGTACACATTGCTGGAGCAATAAATTAATTTCGTTTTCTATTTATTTGATGTGGCAATGCATTTTTACTCAATTCATTGTCCCATTAAAAATGCTCTTAGCTTTAACCGCCATACATTTAATTTTAGTAATTAATAATCGTATATTTTGTATTGTAACAATATACAAAAACACTGCATCATGAGGAAGATGTTTTTAAACTATTGTTGATCTCTCATGCTTTTAATTCATTCATTAAATTGATCATTTTATGATTCTATTTTTTTGTGAAATTAGGAGAATTGTACGTTTTATTCCCTAAAAAGCAAAAAAAAAAAACTAACTAGGCATTTCGTGATCTTCGGTACGTGTTTATCTAAATTGACATTTTGATTTCATTTATTTATTTATTTTCAAAAACAAAAATCCGGGAGAAGAAATGAAGAAAGAAATTTAGGATGAGTTAATTATCAAAATAGGACTAAAAGTCATTCACTTTTCACAAATATGACCAAAAAATAAATTATGTTTGCATAGGACTAATTATGTGTACCTCAGACAATTATACCCTTATAGCTATTAAAATGTTTTAATTCCTAATAAAACAATAAAAAATAATAAAAATTCGTAAAAAATACTAAAAAATTAAGAAAAACATTTCAATATTAAAAATTTATTTAATTTTTTTTCCAAAAAATTAAAAAAATTAAAAAAAAATTAAAAAAAAATAAAAACTAAAAAAAAAATCGCCACCGCCTCTGCCGCCTCAGCACCACCACCTCCAGTCACCAGGGGAAAAAATGACAAGTTCATTACGAATGCCATATTTATGGCATAAAAAATGAAAATGTTGGTATTCGAAAAGAGAAATATGCCACTTTTTGGCATTTTCAGAAAAAAATGGCATTTTTCTGGGAAAATGGCATTTTTTTCATCGACCAGAGGTGGTGGTGCTAGGAGGTAGTACAGGCGGTGGGAAAGGCATCCATATTTTTTAAATTTTTTTTACGGAGTTTTACTTTTTTTTATTAATTTTTTAAAAAATAAAATTATTTAAAAAAAAATTTTTGAATTTTTTATTTTATAAAAAGTTTATAAATTTTTTAATTATATTTCTACGAATTTTTGATTTTTTTCGAATTTATTATGAACTGAACATTTATTTGTGGCTTTTGACTATTTTTAATTCATATTTAATGGAAGGGTAAGAATGGAATGCAAAAATAGGTATGTTTCCAATAGGACTCATATGATCCTATTTTGGAATAAAAACATAGCAAGTCCTATTTTAGGTCTTTGACATAGTTTTAGTCCTATTTGAACTAATTTCTAATTTAGATCCAACACATGTGATCTTCATCATCACCACCAACCTCGCCTTTCCTTTGCCTCAACCGCAGAACGGAATCCAGAGAGAAGTGCATATGTAAATGGCTCTCCGGAGGCTATTCAGCTCTTCTTCAGTCGCTTCCCGTCTCCATCTTCATTCTCTCTCCAATGGCTCGTCTCTTCGCTTCGCGGTTAGTGCACGAACAAACCGAGATCCCTCTGAAAAACTCAGTTACATTTGTATAACTCGTTGTTTCGAATGTATGCATATCCTGGATTAATACCGCTCATATATTCGTCTGTTACAATCCCGCTAAGACTTTTTTCAGCGTTGGTATTAATTATTACGTATGCTCTTGCATTTGCTGATCGCTTGTTTCTTAATTGCTTCCACAACATCAGTCATCTCTGCCCAATCAAGCGAACCGAGAGAAGGAGGACCCGCGCGTGACGGTACCATAGGCTCATCGTTTTCTTTCTCAATACACGGGATTTTTATTTGTTCATTTGCGTTTCAGTAGTGCGCTCATGGTGTGTGTCATTATGTTTGTCTTGAATTTAATTGCAGTGGACTAAGAAGCTAAATGCCCCCCTTGAAGAAGTCGATCCAGAAGTTAACGACATCATTGAGCTCGAAAAAGCTCGCCAATGGAAGGTATGTATCATTCATATAGAGGATTTCATAAAACACACTTCCATTTATATTGTGACTGAACTAGGAGGTCAGTCAATTTTAAATTATGGCGGTCATGCTTTGTGGATTAGGGACTGGAGCTCATACCATCAGAAAACTTCACTTCTCTCTCTGTTATGCAAGCAGTTGGATCAGTGATGACTAATAAGTACAGTGAAGGATACCCTGGCGCTCGATACTACGGAGGAAATGAGTATGTTGGTTCAGTTAAGCTCACTTTTCCCAACTGGAAAGTGGAATTTTGACTGGTAAATGCATGCTGTTTTAGGTATATTGATATGGCAGAGAGGCTGTGTCAGAAGCGTGCTTTAGAAACTTTCAAATTGGACCCTGAGAAATGGGGAGGTAATAATAATGTCTATAATCTTCATTGATTAACAAGTACCTGTAAAATGGCTGTGAGTTTAATGTTTATACAAGTGAGTAGGTTACAATTGTTCCATTCTGTCATAATGACTAGGAAATGCTCAAGATTGCCTCTGCAACATTGAATATAAAATCCAGCTTGTGCAGAAATCCTTGATATATTTGTCTTGGTTGATTAAGCATTATATACTACTTTAAGTGATTACAATACCCAGCTAATATAATGTTTTATAAAGTAACGGAATTTACCTTGCGCAGTTAATGTACAGTCACTATCAGGATCTCCTGCAAACTTTCAAGTGTATACTGCTTTGCTGAAACCACATGAGAGAATCATGGCTCTTGATCTCCCTCATGGTGGACATCTTTCTCATGGTTATCAGGTGCTTACAATTTCGTCTAAATACATATCTGTGAAGGTTTCTTACTCAATTCTCTCTTTAAGAGTTTAAGATACATTGATCCCATATTCTCCTCCTCCATTGGGTAGACTGACACGAAGAAGATTTCTGCTGTCTCTATCTTCTTCGAGACAATGCCTTACAGACTGGATGAAAGCACAGGATACATTGACTATGACCAGGTATTTCATGGGTGACTTCAAGTTTCTATAGTTATGCTATTTCTTATAAGTACTGTCTTAATGCTTATTCTTAAACTTTCTTTATGATGGTTGTTCCTTAATATAGAAGAAACAGAACACTATTTTTCAGACTGCAACACCTCATACTTTCATAGCAATACTAGAAATTAAGGACAGTATGCAATCTTTCAACCCCCCCACAGACACTCACACATCCAAAACGTCCTCTTCACTGTCACGCACACATGTCTCTCTACCCTTTGAAAATACCCTTTCAAATAAGTTAATGAATAATGAGTGAAGTAAGAATGTTAGTGATTCTAATTTCTACGTTTTTTCATGCTTTATCAGCTTAAGAGGTGGAATGCACATTCCAACTTTGACACGCTCACCAACTCCTGTAACGTCCTGACTGACTTTCTAATCAGATAATGACCTACTAAGACTAGGCTGCTTTGTTATATTAGCCACGTCATAATGTTGTCAACTTGTTATCCCTGTGCTGATTGACAAGCAATAGAGATCGTCTTTTTTTCCTTTGACCTATGTCTTCCCATCCTGTTTTCCGATACATTATCTCTTTTTGTAGGGTAGTGCAATATAGTGTCTTTGGTCATTGTGAGAGGTCCTTTATCCTTCTGGTGTATTTTTCTACTATTTTCATATTCCGATGTGTTTGTAGCTGGAGAAAAGCGCAACGCTGTTTAGACCAAAATTAATCGTTGCCGGTGCTAGTGCTTATGCCCGCCTATATGATTATGCACGCATTCGTAAGGCAAGTTTAAACCATTTTCTTTCTCAATTAGTATGTATTTACATATTCTAGTATCATAAAAGATTTTGTCATATGTTTAATAGGTATGTGACAAGCAAAAGGCGGTAATGTTGGCGGACATGGCACACATTAGCGGCTTGGTTGCTGCAGGGGTCATTCCATCTCCCTTTGAGTATGCAGATGTCGTTACAACCACTACACACAAGTCACTTCGTGGGCCACGTGGGGCAATGATCTTCTTTAGGAAGGGAGTCAAGGAGATTAACAAACAAGGAAAAGAAGTATGTTCTGATCTTAAGAAAAGAATAAGTGGGAAATGTGTAAATTAATCACATCATATTTGGTTAAACATCTTATACTTCTGTTCGTATTTGTTTTCCTTTGTTTTTTTATACCTTTTTGTCATTGAATTGAAAATATGATTAGGAATAGGTTTTTTTTTTCAAAAATATTACTAAAATAAAATTTAGTTACACAAATATGACCAACAGTTACTACAATGTAGTGTCATGGTAACTTAATTAAAAAAAAAAACTGAATATAGGTTACTATGATTTCATTACGACTCTAGTCACTAGTCACATTTTTGCGAACAATTGTTTTTGTCACAAATATGTAATTATTTCTTAGGAATAACAGTTTTTGCTTGTCTATTACAGGTTATGTATGATTTTGAAGAGAAAATTAATCAAGCTGTTTTTCCTGGACTTCAAGGTGGTCCTCACAATCACACAATCACAGCCTTAGCGGTTGCTCTTAAACAAGTAACCTTTTTATACCTTTTTTTAAAGATTATGTCAAGTATTTTAGTCAAAATATATTTAAGTGTGTGTGTGTATTTTATGCCAAGTTTTTGTAGTCAACAGAGTTAATACATATTCATTTTCCAGTGTAAGTGGTATATAGGATAACAATCACATTATTGTTCAAAACTTTAGGATTTCTATGTGTGGGTGTAGGCAATGACACCAGAATACAAAGCTTATCAGGAACAAGTTCTCAGTAACTGCTCAAAGTTTGCTGAGGTTATATTTGCATCCTTCCATGTATATTTTTCTGCTGCAGCGTAATTGTTTGTTTGTGGTGAAAGTAAAGTTTTCTGTGCTTGCAGAGTTTGTTAGCTAGGGGCTATGACATTGTATCTGGTGGGACGGAGAATCATTTGGTCCTAGTAAACCTAAGAAAAAAGGTAGGTAATTATTGGTTGTTTCCCTTTCCAATGGCCCTCTGCTTTGGTAGGCTTTTGCTATCCGCTTTTGAGTCATAACAGAATATGATAACTATGAGTCTACAGTTGGAGCTTCTAAATAATCAAATACTACCTCCGTCCCAAAAAATACTTCCCGGTTTGACTTGGCACGCTTATTAAGAAAGTGGAATAAAGTGGAAATGTATGGTTGTAGTTGTGTAAGAAAAAGGTAAAATGAATGTGAGCCACACAAATTGTCCAAAAAGGGAAAGTGGGAAGTATTTTTTGGAACGGCCCAAAAAGGAAAGTGGGAAGTAATTTTTGGGATGGAGGGAGTAACTTGTTCACAATAGGAGCTCTAAATCATAGTCTTGTTCTATTTTCTTTTCTGTTCTAATGGTTGTACTAAAAAATAGTGTTGTTCTATTTGACTGTGGAAGGAAGATAAAAGATTGGTGTGACTTGTGAGTGAAGGTGCTTCTCCCATAGCTTCTTGTGAGGGCACATAGTTGACTCCTGTTGTTAAATTATGCAAGTCCGAGAAGAGAATAACTTTAAGGCCCCCTTACCTATGAGAATGAAGTGGATATTGATTTCATTTCTATGCTTTTGAGTGCAGTATGACTTTTCTTGCAGGGCATTGATGGATCCCGTGTTGAAAAGGTTTTAGAGTCGGTGCACATAGCAGCTAATAAGAATACAGTTCCCGGTGATGTGTCTGCCATGGTACCTGGTGGCATTCGTATGGGTAAATTATTTTTCTTAGAGTTGCATTATCTTCTTCTTGAAGTTTTCCTCACTCATAAGTTCAAAGCATGAGGCTCCGTTTGGTATCTATGATGTGCTTATTCCACTTATCATCAGAATCATCAGAATAAGCCTTCAACTTTTACATAGGTGCCTGAAATTGGTGTTACTAAACAAATTACCTTTTAAGTATCCAGTAGATTTAGCCGTCTGAGCCAAAGAACTTGCACCAAACAGGTGCCTTTTGTGCATAAACCTCTCTCTGCTTGCATAGCCATTTTAGTAACTTCCATCTTGCTCACAATCCAGGAACTCCTGCTCTTACCTCTAGAGGATTTGTTGAGGAGGATTTTGTTAAGGTAGCCGAGTTCTTTGATGCTTCTGTAGAGTTGGCTCTTGAGATAAAGGCGAAGACAGAAGGTTTAAACTGCTCATCCCTTCTATATAAGCTGTTAAGCATTAATAAGCTTAATTTAGATGTATGCTTATAAGTAGTTGGTTTCCCCAGGAACAAAGCTGAAGGACTTTGTGGCAACTATGAACTCAGATTCTGACACTCAATCCAAGATAGCAAAGATCCGGTCTGAAGTCGAGGAATATGCAAAACAGTTTGCCACTATTGGTTTTGAGAAGGAAACAATGAGATACAGGCATTGAACACACCAGAGCCAAGGTAAATGTTACTCAGTTCAATATATTAATCTTTAATTGCAAATGCTGGGGGGGGGCTTTAGCTTCCTTGTGCTTAAGTATCACCACTCTTCATCCACTCAGGGATGTATTGCTGAGTTTTAAAAATGCAGGCTGCCACAGTTTTTAAAGGAGATGGCTAGGAGTCGGCTGCATAGGTGTCAGGCGTACTAGTTTTAGAATTGAAATCATACTCCCGTTTTTTAATTGTTCCTATAAGGCTTTCACTGAGATTAGAATTGAAATATTAGTTTTAGTGAACATTATAGAAAAAATGTAAACAGCATGACAGCTGATGAAAAAGCATGAAAGCGAAGCTGAAATGTTACAAAATTAGGAAATGGAATAGGTAAAGGAAGTAGGGAAGAGATGCATAATTAAGTTAAAAATTTTCAAAAATGGAAATGAAGCAACTAATAAAAAAACTTCAAAAAAGACTTGAGGAACAAATAAATAAAACCGGAGGGAGTGTGAGCCAAAGTGCCAAACGGTGCCACTTTACCCATCATTGTTATTTAATAAAAATCAATCTCAAAATTGGAATTATCATATTGGCGTTAGGACACAATGCTTATTGGTTTGAACTTATTATGTCTATATGATGTATTATCAACTCATCATGGTGATGCTTTTGAATCTTTGAGTGAAAACAACTTGATGAGGGGGTGTATCTTCGCTGTGTTTTTTAAAGATAAATTAAATAATTTTGTCATTTGGATGAGAGGTGCATACTTGGTAAGACCTTGGGATGTTCGTATTTTTATGTGCATAACTCTAATGTACAACAAGAAAACTTGGGAATCCTAAAAAAAACTTAGGGACGCTGCACACCTGCACACACTAGGCCATTGAGGTGAGAGGTCTACGAACTGCAGTGTGTGTTGCTACTTCTTCACCCTTGGATGTGATCATAATTCATTAGCTTAAGATTATTGTTATATGTATGTATATATAAGTTTATGAATTATGATGTTACGGAGTATTATATATATAACAGCAGGATCTTGATTGAGCTCACTTCCAATGCAAATGGCGATTGAATTAGCAACACCAGCTCAATTTATACAATTTGAAATGGCACTAGAATTTGTTTCCGGTTTGCCACGTACGATTGGTATAACTTTCCCTGTTTAGAAACTTGAAGCAGCTTAACATGTTGCTTTTTTTCTAAATTATGTCACACATGTCGGATATTTACAGAGTAATAAATCATGTAAAGTTTTCATGAATGTATCCAACTTCTAAGTACATGTGAGTATAATAATCGCATCATACTCTATATTGAAAGTGAAACTAGACTACAATGATGATTGATGAGCGTAAGGGCTGGGATTTCCAATACTTTTTAATGTAAGTACCTATAAATACCAATTGGTAATTATAAGAAGGGGTAATTTGAGTTTGCACCCCATATTATTGTCTAAGTTGGACTTTGCGCCCTGTTTTTAAAAATATTTTTTTTTGCACCCCAACTCCATATGAAAAGACTAAAATGCCCCTCCATTAACAATTATGTTGACCTTCAACGTATTCCTTATTGAGGACATTTTTGTCTTTTCATATGGGGATGGGTGCAAAAACAAAGATTTTTAAAAATGGAGCGCAAAGTCCAATTTAGACAATAATATGAGGTGCAAACTCAAATTACCCCTTATACGAAAAAATTTGGTATCACAAGATATTAATTCGCTATGTTTTACATTAAAACTAAAGTATTTCACATGTTCATTATTATATATTTTAAACTCCTATATGTGTAGCTAATTTAGTTCATAACATTGCATGCTTCTTTAGATAATGGAGCTTCAGAAATCAGAATGAATTGTTTTGAGAGGGAGGAGCAATTAGATCACTAAGCAGGGGAGGATCTAGCATTGTGATTCAGGAGGGGCTAAAATGTAACTAAATAACTTATATTGCAAAAAATGTCAAAATGTAGTAAAATAGTATGTTATTTAACAAAATTTGAACTAGAAAAAATAAATTTTTAGTAAAATAGAAAAATAGAAAAAAAAACATCTCAGAATTTTTTTTAATAAATTTGTAGTAAAATAGAAAAAAACACCTCAAAGCCATACATATTGAACTAATTCTCACCTACCAAGTTCAATAAATTGAACAAATTAATTTTTCTTGCTAATATTTAAAAGCCCAAGAGCATTCACAATATTAGTATCTAGCACATTCATCGTTTGAGATTGGTGTTAAACTTGTAGTAATTGAATATAGGAGACCAAGATTAAATATATATTTTTGAAGGAAGAATCCTTTTATTCTTTTGGTGTGGAAGAAAGAGATTTTAGAAAAGGAAACTGAATTTTTTACACATTATCCTATCCTATTGAAAAGTTATAAAAAAAGTGCTATGCACAAGCTGACAAGCTTCAAACTCATGACCTACAGGACACACGTGCAACTCTACATCCAAGTATCCAACTTTCCAACACGGTATTTGTTGGCAAACCAGCTTCTTTTGTAGTTATAAGTCTTATAACATTACACAACAACAATTTATACTCCGTATAATATAATACATATATATATATACTACTAGTAGTAATTTTATTTTTTTTGAGGTGGGGCCTAGGCCATCCCTCGCCTAGAGCCAGATCCGCCCGTGTCATTAAGGTAAACCTCTAAGAGCAAATAAGACACTAAGATAATTTTGGGAGCAATTAGACCATTAAGTTAAACCTCTAAGAGTAAATAAGACACTAAACTAATTTTAGGAGCAAAAAAACACCTTTTTGATGAATTTATTACTCTATATATATCATCTTCGTATTAATGTTTTATTTATCACACTTGGGGTCTTAAATAAAAATTTAAGACTAAACAAATCAAAACCCTAAGCATGTCAATGAGTTATAGCATCTTGTACTACTTCCGTTCTGTTTTAATTATAATATTGGACTTTTTACATTATTCACATATTCTACTTTGACTATATTTTATTTAATGATGTGTTATAAATTAAATTTTAAAAAAATATTTTAAAATGCAAATCATTTTAATTATCAAAAATTGTTTTTTTTAATTTTCACTAGTAAGGAATATAAGTTGTTAATAGTCAAATTTGTGCGTTGGCAAGCGTGGAACATTGCAATTAAAAAAGAACAGAGGAAGTATAATGTAAACACTGAACTATTATTATTATTATTGTTATTGTTATTGTTATTGTTATTATTACTATATTTATCATTATTTTTATTGTTATTTTTTATATCTATAATTATAATTATAATTATAAATATAAGTATCATAATTGCAATTGTAATTATAACTATAATTATAATTATAGTTAGAGTTATAAATACAATTAAATATTAATTACAATTCTAATATCAATAAATTTAATTATAATAATTATAATTATAATATAAAATCATGATTATAAAAAGGTTTTTTTTGCTCTTGAAATTAATCAAATTTATCTCAATTAATCATAATTAATTATAATTCTAATATCAAACAATTAATGGGAAGATGATATATATGGAGTAATAAATTCATCAAAAATGCGCTTTTTGCTCCTAAAATTAGCTTAGCGTCTTATTTGCTCTTAGAGGTTTACTTTGGTTTAATTACTCCTGAAATTAGCTTAGTGTCTTATTTGCCCTTAGAGATTTACGTTAGTGGTCTAATTGCGCTCCTTCTAGAGCCTTTGAGATATTCGAATATACATTGCTCCTTTTGAAAGTGTATATATAAATTGTATTTTTTCCAATATTGATTATATTAGATTGTGGGCTAAGAAACGATTAGTATTTTCTTAAAATAATGTTAATTTTGAAGAGGACTTCATTAATATTTCATGTTTTTACAAATGTTTTTTTGTCCAACGTCAAAGACAATAAGCCAATATTCCTTATAGTTTTGTCATGCTGATTTCAGTGCCTATACCGTACGATCGGTATACGGTGAGCACCGTATACCCGTATACGGATTTATATTTTTTTTCTTTTTGTTTTTAAAAAATGGTAATAATTTTTTTATTTTTGATCTGATTTTTATAAAATTTATATCAACATTTTTTATTTTTCATTATCTTTCAAATGAGACCAATATTGCCTATGTAATTTTAACATATTAACATTTGCGTGTAAAATATGTAACTTTACGTGTTAAAATATGTAACTCACGTTCAGTCAGACCAAATGCAACTCGTGTGTATAAATATGTATCTCGCGTGTATAAATATGTAACTTTACGTGTAAAAATATGTAATTTTACGTGTAAATATATGTAAGTCGCGTTCAGGCATGTCAAATGCAACTCGTGTTTATATATATGTAACTCGCTTTTAAAAAGATGTAACTTGCTTATAAAAAGATGTAACTTGCTTATAAAAAGATGTAACTCGTTCATAAAAAGATGTAACTCAATGTATTATCAAATGTAACTGAGGCCACTGATCCACTCCCAAACAGATTCAATCTTCTATTTCACAAACTTATCATCTCCCAAACAGATTCGATTTTCCTTATAATCCAATACTCATTAATAGAATAGTTCGATAATTTCTTAACATTACATAAGCAATATTGGTCTCATTTGAAAGATCATGAAAAATAAAAATGTTGATGTAAATTTTATAAAAATCAGATCAAAAATAAGAAAGTTATCATGATTTTTAAACAACAAAAGCAAAAAAAAATCAGGGAAGTTGCGTCGTTTTGCAACCGGGCACACCATCCTAATGGTGCGTCGGTTGCACGGTATAATAGATTTGAGTATTACCAAGTTTTATTTAAGACAAATACTGATTTTTTTGTACGTAGTATTCAATTTGGTATGTACGAGTTTTGTCCGATATAGAGGAGGTGGGCTCATCCGGCTACGGCCAGGTTTCGGTCCTAGGGCGTCAGGCTGTAGTTCAAATATACTACCTCTGGTTCCTATTAAAGTTCCCAATTTGACTTCACACAGATTAAGAAAATAAATTTGACTTTACTGTGGAGTGCACTGTTTGGCACTGTTTGGCACTGTTTGGCACTGTTTGGACACTGTTTGGCACTGTTTTGTTTCCTACAATGGAAGTGTGAACTTAAATAAGGAACATCTCTAAAAGGAAAGTGAGAACTTTAATACGAACCGGAGGGAGTACTCCGTAGTAGTCCGTACTTATATAGCTTGACTGGTAGCTATGCTGAATATCTCATGCCCGTGTGGCTAGTTTATCCTTCTCCCTACTTTAAAAATTTGTCAAGTTTGACCGAAATGAGAGAGAATTGGTCAATTAAAAATTTGTCAAGTAAAAATTGTGTAGTTGAGGTTTGTGCAAAGGAAAGAGAATTATCTGAAACAATAATTTTTTTACTAAAAGGGGAATAAAAGGGGAAGTAGTTTGTAGGCTGATCCTAGTCGCTTATTACCTAGTCTAGTTCCTTTATTTTTGTTAATGAATCATACTCCGTATGTGAAATCACAAGTCTACTTTATTATTACAATTGTATAGAGTATGTAAAAAACTACACTCTTTAATAAACTCAATAAGTACTTCTATTTTATTTAAATTAAATGAAAAAGATATTGTAAATATTAAATATCGCTACAGTATATTAGTAATCATATAAGAGTCTTGAAGATCAACTTATTGAAACATTTGAGATCGTGCAAAAATACTTTTATACGTATTTATTTTCTATGCTAGGTCATAGGTGTCACGAATACAAATGTTTAGTGTATTATAAGTTGTGATTGTCGCAAATTATACCGTGGTACCGGTATACCATGCACATGATATATCGGTACCACATACGACATCGTTTTTTCTTCTTTTGAGAATTACGTTCGTTTATTTTCTTTTTCTTCAAGACTCGAGCCCTCCAACTTTCTTTGGAGCATTATCTCTTATTTTTCTTTTTTATTTTCTTCAATTATTTTCTTCTCTCCATCTAAATATTAAAAACTAATTCTGATTTCTCTTGTATTTATCTTTAACTAATTAAATTACAATTTAAATAAATTTTTTCTTTACCAATTTATTACAAAATTTTCTTAATCCGCATAAAATTAGTACTACAAATTTATTTTTTGTGTAATATTTTTTTTACATTTATACACTTTTTTTGTAAAATATTTTTCTTATTCAAACACTTTTTTCTATAATACATTTTTTATCTCTTTTATATGTTTGTAACGCTTTTAAGACATTAAAGTTTGCTTATTTCGATTTAAATCTGATAAAACATGAGATTACATTTTTCATATGTGTGCATTATGTTTATAGACAATTTCTGGAGATCTTTGATAGTATATGAAATCACATCTTCTTGTGTATGAGTTACATTTGTTTATGTATGAGTTACATCTTCCTATGCGCGAGTTACATTTAG